TTCCACTTTCCTCATCCATTTCACTTGAATAGGATGCCCTGGTCGACCGTCCAGTCCCCAGCATTTAATGTTTCATATATGTAATAATGGAATGAAAATTAAAAGAAAAATAAAGGAAAGATCTCACCCGATATTGCAAAGGAATCAATGACATCACGATGATTTCGAAGAGCTCCCATACATAGCAAAAAAATAATTGTAATATCACATCAAAGTGGATACACTTCAATCGTGTCGAAAATATGGTGTAATACAAGGGGAAAGTCACTCAGCACATTGTGCCTAAATTAGATTCGGCACAGCTTGGGCACATCCACCGGTACATCTTCGGCATACCTTCGGCACAATCTCGTAGACATTGGATTGTAGTAAATAAAATTGGAGCACTGCTGGACAACTGTCATTGAAGTTGTTCACAACATTAGGTGCTGTTTGGCTGTATATTCAAGAACATCCTCTAATTGAATATACCAGAGGAACTCAGACCAGCAGTTCACTTATAGATCTAAATACAAAATTTAGGTTCTAGAATGGGTTCAAGATAAAGAGGCGGTTATTCAGACCCCTTTAGTACCCTTAATTCAAATAATGATGCAACTCACACAAAACAAACTACTGAAGTCTATTCATCATCCTCTATAGTCGGTATCCAACAATGTTCTCCACCGGTTCCATCTCTTTCCGACCGCTGATAGACCGTTGCTTTTCACAGCACGATAGGCTAGGTTGCTGGTCTGCCTTTGAGGGCATTATAAAACCCTAAAACACAGGACTTTTATGATCGTTTGAACATAAAACATCAAAATTTCGCAAACCTGCCACTTCCAGTGTCATCCTCAATCGGATTTATCATTGCAATTTCAAACCAAACGTCAGAAATACCGGGTTGCCGGGATGGGTATTTTACAAACATTCGCAGCAATCTCAGTGACCGGCACAATCGGCACACCTGCGGCACACTGACAAAAAAGATGACCCAAGATAGGTGTGTGGAGTGACCTACCCCTTGGTGTAATATTACTTGCCAAAAAGGACAAAATTATCATTAATACAGTGCATCAACTGACATTACGCTGCTTTTACTGCATTTGTTTATTTGTAAGGCTATAAAAAAATACATGAGATTTTCGACACGATTGAAGTGCATCCTCTTGGATGTAATATTAAAATTTATTTTTTGCTGTATAGTTATGCTGCCGCTACAGTTCTTTAACCGGTGTTAAAAACAGCACTCTCGCCTTTCGTTCCTCACACAGAAGCGTAACCCCCCATCAAAAACAAAACACACTCTATATGCTCCAACTAGAGGGACCTCAGAAGAGAAAAAAAGGACTGCTTCCACTTTCCATCACCAATCACTCGCGACACAACGGCTTCAGTTCGCCAGTACACAGTCTGTAAGACTCAGCACCAGCTCCTCGCTGGACAAATCAACTCGCGACCAGCGACCGAACACAAACGCGTCTAATAGCGGCCACAGCTCACTTCGATTGCATTTCTGAAACACAACCTCAACGCACAAACACGACGATGACAACATTAGACAAATATATAACATGGAGCAGACTGGAACCGAACCATGCACGTTGAGGTTCAACACTTTTATTTTACGTACCTCTATGAACCTCAAACTATTTTTTTGGTTGCTTCATGAAAAATCATGTTTTTTTTCAATAGAGTGCAAAGTTATTTACAAATGTGCATGCCATCCCTAGTTTTCAAAAAGTTGAAAAAAGTAGTTAAATAGGATGTGATAAATATTGAGCGTTGAGCATACTTCAGGATACGAGCGTTGAATATTATTATTTTCCCTATGCATGGAATGAGTTATCGGATGGGAGGGAGGCTTAACTTGATTGACACCCTATATATTTTTTTTATTCCATATCGTTAAATTTAAAAATAGTTCGAATAGTCTGGAAATATCTTTAAGAGTTGATAATTTTTTTTTGATCATTAATTTATTTGATAAGGCTCAACCACATTAATTTTTTTCAGAGACAAGGATGCTTGTTCACTATACAGTACATGTTAACACTATTGTAAGAGTTGATAATCTCGAGAATGATATTTGATAGCCAAAATGCGTCAAAATTTTCAGCCAATCATTTTTTTCAGTCAAATGTCCTTTGGCCTTTGGCCATACGTTTATTCCGCTATACGTTCATAAGCCAATCGTTATTACAAGTAGAGCGTTACAATATTAGCTTCAATCGACAAAACAGCTTCTCAGCATTCTAGAACCTCAGTTGGCGTCTACAAACAAATTTTCAATCACTTGTCTCTCTTTATCCCGTCGCTTCTTTCTTTCAAGCTTCGGTGAAGAGGACGAGTGAAAGAGCGCTTGAATTTGATAGTTTCGTCTTTCATAAAACACATCAACAGAGGTTGCATTGCATACATAACGGAAAATGAAAATATATATTTTAATCATTTCTCACGTGAAAACACTTGAAGATTATGCGTAATATGTTTAATTTATCGTCCATTCACATATTTATCTAAAAAAGGTAACGAAAACGGGACATAAGGCATATTTAACAAATTTAAAGAGCAGTGATAGCAACAATCAATTCGAAACTAACGATTTTAAATTGGCTCACTACTTGACTAGCCTATTGGTCCCAAGCAAATGATTAACGTATCCAATTCTAGTCGGAATTGTAGTACTACACTATGTTTGTTTTGATTTGCTATGAAAGTTTGACAGATAAAATGAGGGGTTCATGGATTTTCCTATGTTTCGAGGGGTGTATCGATTTGCTTGGAACCAAAGATAGTACCAGAGCTGAGCCGAATAGTTGAGCACGTATCTTCGGGACCTTCTGGTCTTAGAGTTACCTCTACGGTGATAGAGTGTCAGTGAAAGGGATTTGAAAGCCAAAAGTTAGGTTTCTACGATAATCGACGTTACTTTCATTGAAAGTGATGAGTCCACAGCTAGTTTGTCGTTCTTAGCTAACTTCTTTTGATTTTCATTTCGTGCTGATAGTCTACGTTGAACACGTTGTATGAATGAAACAAAACTCGAGCTAATTTTAGAGTTTCGGAAATGTAGAGCCCTGATTACAAGATCATAGTTTATATTAATGACATTATTTTTTTTGCATATGTTAATGCTTTGTCAACAAAATCTCTAGTCCAAACAAGACATAATTGATATTTTAATAATCAATTATTTCAGTTATCAACTTAACACTCCGAACACGATGCTTCCAGTAAAATGTGTAACGGTAAATTGGATATGTTTGAAATATCGTTTTTCAGCAATTTATCGATAGATTTCAAACTACTGGATTTGTTTTCTCCTCTGTTCGGGACATAAAACTAGTGCGACCAGTAATTTGATCTATTGTAGTATATCCAGTGTCCCTAGTTTAGTGCATGTCGTATTACTTCATCACTATTGAGAAATGATGAAGTATTCGGTTTTGATACAGTTGTAATTCTTGCCTTCGTCGCAAGGGATCGATTCTAATTGAAAGGGCCCGCTATTTATACCCTTCGGAGTGTTGGAACACCCTCCAAAGGCGCACCCCTTTGTCAGTTAAAATTGGATTCCTTAGCAACAAAGTTAAAGAATGACACCGATAGTGACCATGCATCAGAACCCTAGTCTTAACCACTTCAAACTAGAGAACAACGAATAGAAGATTAGGAATCACATAGATGAAGACTAACTAACTCATTTTTCCTTGTTTCAAGATCATCCTCGGTCCAGGCAACCCGAGAACTTATCACTTTCAACAAGGCATAAACAAGTAACAAGGACTAAGATGTGTTCCTTTGATTACTGATAAATCCTGTTCCCCTAGTTTGAAGTAGTCGAGACTAGGAATCGGTGGTAGATCTTACATCCCGTAACGTACCACGAAAAGGTGATCTACCCACGTTACGGGGCCCTACTGGATACATATAGATTTGAAATTGATCAATAAATAGCTGAGCTATGATTTTTCAAACATTGCAAGTTTGCCGTTACACATTTTACCGGAGGCATTGTTAATCAAGTGTAAAAAATATAAATTCAAATTACTTTAACTGATTCTGGAGTGCGTTGTCTTAGATCACATAAAATGCACTTCAAAAGATAAAAAAGTATGCTATAAAGCTATAACCACATTTCGTTTTTTTTATGAATGCACACCTTCACACTGAATGCATCAAACACGAACGAAAAATTTCAAAATCACACACCAAAGCCATAAAGCCTTGTGAAGGACCCCCGGATCGTGCCTGACATTCACTCTCGCTTTTTTTTCGCAGACGATTGCTCTAAACTCGTACTCCGGTTTGTCTAGTGCGCAATGTGTATCTCCCTAAATCGACTTTCACTGAACTAGTGGAGCCGGAGCTGGGGTTCTGGAAAAACTGTGGGTGCTGGTCGGGGCTGCAACTGCTCCAATCCGGTTTTCCTAGTCGAGTGCACTTAAATTCCAACATTTGCACCAGCTGACTGGAGGTGAATGAAGTGATAAAAAAATAAATGCCGCTCTTGTCGTTTCTGCTGCTGCAGCAGCAGAAGCAATGCAGTGCGATGTCAAAATGTAGGCCACGGTGCAAAAGCTTGCGGCCTCCGACGGACGACGTACCTATCAAGACCATTTCTAACGAGCAAAAGGCTTGGCGCACAGAAGAGGATGGAAGAGAGCAACAGCAGTTGTATTATTTGACCAATCCTTCATCTCTGGGACTGGTTTTCTGACTGCAACGGGTCTGGTTGATCTGGTCGGGATTGAGGAAAATCCTAGCTAAAGTTGCAAATGCATGCGTTGGGTGGTGAAATGAAACCTACGCCGATTGTGGGCTTGTGAACAAATTCCATGTGGTAATTGTGCACTGGATTTCACAAGCGAAAGCGAAAGTGGATTGAGGCGTTTGATTCTGGTTGGATTTGAGTAGTTTAATTATAATCTTTCAAATTTTGATGAAACGATTTGAGTTCCCAAAATTACTAAGACAATTAAAGATAATTGTTTGTGTTTTCCCTTTCTTTACAGTTTAATCGCCAGCATCAACAGTGAGAAGGGGCAAACCGCGCAAACGGTGAATGGTAACGCCGCGTCGTCCAGCAATGGCCACAAGCGTCAGTCCGTCAGCAGCCAGGACACTGCCGGTGACATCGAATCAGACGTGGTTGTGGGTGAATCCGGTGGCCGTGAGCGTATAAATTCGACGTCCCACTATTCGACTGAGAAGAGCGGTTCCTCGGGCTACTACAGTACAAATATTTACTTTGCCGGAGGTTCGGTGGTGGACGATCACATCTACTACGAACCGGTTGTGGACCGTGCTCGGAAGCCTCCGGCGGAAACTGGAAACAAACCCACCGGAGCAACCATCGGTAAGAAGGAAGGCATTTTGAAGAATAGTAACAAGTCTCAGGACGCCAACAAGGCGGCGCAAAAGAATGGTAGAACACTAGAAAAGTACTACTATCCGGCAACCCTGGAGAACGTAGCAAATGACGTGTCAGTTATGCGCGCAAAACCAACGAGCAATGAGAAACTTACCGATATCACAGAGGGTCCGGATGGGCCAATACCTCGGCCTATCTGGCCGCTCGATGTCGACGATTCGCTGGCTGATATTAATCTGGAGGCGTTCAAAATGCGAAACAACAGCCAACAGAACTTGATCGGGTTCGAAAGTCCGGCATCGTCCAACTCTGACAATGAAATCTATTCGGTTAGCAAGAAAACTTTGGATGATACAGCGAAGAAGAAATCGCAGTCACAATATGAAGAATATCTGGAATTTCACAACACACGCAACATCTTGGAGCAAATCCGTGGCAAATTGAACACACTGCTGGAACAGCGAACTGAGGGTCAGAATCATTCCGGTACCAGCCATGGTCTTACACAGGCCGAGGTCGAGCTGGAGGAAAAGATAACTAACCTGAAGTCCGACCTAGAAGGTTACCTACAATCAATGAACCAGAAGAATGAGAACGAAATCAAACTCTTCTGTAAGGGAATGTCCAAGGATGCCAAGGTGGTCGCCGTGCAAAACGCAGTTGAACAGCGCAATCGTTCGCGTAGTTCATCGGTCAACTTTGAAAACGACTACGAAGTTCTCGAAAACCAGAAGGCACTCGATCAAACATTCTATCCTACCATATCCCAGAGGACCCTCTCGAGATATCCGAATCCTGGTGATCAACCGTCACTGTTCGAAACGGTATACGTTCGCGATGGCTTCAACGTTCGTCAACTTAATCGGCAGGCACCGAACCCATTCGCACAGGAAGCTCGCTCGACGCAGATGCTGCAGAACCAGCGATCGATCAACTATCCACCGCATCCGAAGCAGCTTCAGCAACAACAGCAGCTGCGCTACCTAAGCAATGCGGAAATTAATGCTCTGGGTAGTTACGAGGCTTGTGAGCGAAGGCCGAGCAAGGTTTCGATAGAAATACCGGAAGATTTAGGAAGCAAAAGTGCACACGTAGTGGTAGACGGTGGTGTTGGGATGGGATTCGCCCACGACGGAAACATCCTGATGGATGGCCGTGCTAGGCGTAAGTCAGAATTAAGCAATAGCAATAATGTAGGCAAAAGTGGTGATGTGAGTGATTTTACGTTGCAACGGGTGATTCTGATGGAAAGTTTGGGCAAGAATGGCAAGATGTTCGGTGATAAGGAGAAGATGTTGCTCGAGTACCACTTGAATAAGCCGAGCTACTGGGAGCTGTACTACGGTGCCAATCGGGAGGAGCACAAACCGCACCACACGCTGATACGGAAGGTGAAAATTGGAGGGAAGAATGCCATCTCGGTTTCCTATGTAAGTAAATCAATCATTTTGGGATGGGGGTTTGATGTTTTTTAGAGCCACCGTTTTGACGTCTAGCATGCAGAAAAAATAGGGTTTTCAATAACAAGTTGATGACTTTGATCCCCAAAACCTTTGACAATCATGAATTTGCATAAAATTGAAAGGTGTTCTTCAAATGACGAGCCTATATGTTGTTCCTTTATGTATAAAGATATGAAATTAGCCATACAGGAGACCTAAGAAGGACAAACGTGGTATGAGCATCCTGCAGTTTAGATCTTGAAGTTCTATAGACTAAAGCATTTTAAAATGTCTCGATCATCTTGACCTTCAACCGGATGTCTTGTATGATGTACCTAATGAATCTTTTTACTATTAACGCCTTAAGGAGATCAATACCATTAATTGAAGTATATAGCTGTGTTGTCAAAATATCTATGATTCTCCGAATCGAATCGTCTTAGTCGAATCATAGTCGTCTACTATGACTCGACTAAGTGCTAAAACCATTTACTCTTCGTGGAGCCTAATAATATCATTAGGGATATCTAGTTGAAATGGCAAAGTATTTCCTGTTCTTCATATTATCATAAAGTTATATTCTTGTAGGAAGTCCTGCTTTAAAGAAGCTAAAAATGGTCGATTCAAAAAAAAATAATGCAGCAGGTTCACTAAAAACTTTTTCCGTATATTTTCACGAATATAGGAACGGATTTTTGCGTGTGATCGTACAGCTGTTTATGGACAGTGGTACGTTTATGAGGGAATCACTCCCAGAGTTGATCAGCCAGTTTATTATTTCCGGAAATATTTCATTTTCAGTTAAACTGCACACAAAGTTTCAGGCTCGATTGTTAAATGACATAAATCCAAACATGGGTACCAGTGCAATCTAGCCGCACAAACAAATCACAAGTCGTGAAACAAATCACAAATTCCAACCTGCAATAGCAGCATGACAAATACCACCACTTATTCAAACGTGATTACCGAAACCTCATTTTGCCCGGTGCAAACTACCTTCATCATATGCCAAATATTCAACCTTTACGGATCGTGCTTCGTTGGTCCTCCTAGCATCGGTCACTTTATTGGCCAACATTTTTCATGAACCTCCCACATATATTGTACTGTAATTACTTTTCCCTAACACCTATTCTGGTAAATTGCATTTTTATTATCGTCGCATATGTCCGTTCTGGTGTTGTCAGTGTAGGAACGCGTGAGATGGGCACTTTATGGTTGCCAATGAAAACACGTCCATGATATTTAGATTTTGTTTATGTACCACTCGTTGATCAGTCAGTCAGTCAGTTTGCGGCTGAAGAAGCATAGCCATCTGCGATGCCGCACTCACTGATTTATGATATAATTTTAATTTTGCGTGGTTGTAGGGTACTGTGTGTATTTAGCCATGCGGGCGACGACTCGGCAAGAAGACGCTCGTTCGAGTATTCTTGGACTATAGCGACCAGCAACGGCGGTAATTTGCTATCTGAGACGTCTTGAATTGACGGTCTATAGGCGCTGGATAAACATTATATTTAAGTGAATAAATCAATTCCCGCAACCTTGGAGGAGATTGACCTCGGATAGTCAATCGGGTGTGTGAATTCTTAGAACCTGACGAAGACGACGATCATATGGTGGAATAATCTTGGTGGATGATTAGGTAAATATGAAGATCTCGACTGAAATTTATGTTTTATTCGAAATGGAATAAGTTTTCAGCATGGATTGATTGATTCATGAAGTGACGTGGGTGTTCACCAGGGAAGCTTAAGATGATAGTTGTTTATGGAACTATTATTTATTATTGGAAAATAGATGCTATATAAACAGCTCCGTAGTACCTACATACTAAGCATACCTGAAATGTAATGTAATTGGATATCCAGACCAAATTTATGTACACCACTGTCACTACCTATCTTTTATCCGAAAAATGATCGAATTATGTTTGAGTACAACCAAAGTTGTTCTATTAATTCAATTAACGCTTTGTATGTACCTTGGGGTCAATTCGAATGAATTTGTTTTAAATTTTCATGATTAGGTGTGTCCTCTTGGAAATGTTATTTGCTTCAAAAATACTTGAAAAATTATCCATTGCATAAATTTTCTCAATAAGCTTACGGTGTCTGTACCCTGCAGTCGATTTGACCACGAATGCAACAAAATGGAACGAAAGGACAAATGGTTGTTAGGAGAAAAGGTCGAACGGACAAAAGATCGAATCATTCCAAAGGTAAAAACATCGAAAAAGATAAAATCATAATTACCGAGCAGTTTCACGTCAAATGACAGATAGATCTGATGCGACTTCCTCTGTTTGGAATGCAACCATGCATAATTGTTTGTTATTATAAATCATTCACGTTTTGGCTAAAATTCGACCATTTTGATTCTCCCAAAAAAGTCCAAAATGTCGTAAAGGGTGTCCCGGGCCCGTGACTTTCCACCGTATTTTGCCATTCGTCACGATTTGGAGCCTTCTGCTTTTTGTACGTACACAGCAAACAATAAATTTTAATATTACATCCAAGAGAATGCACTTCAATCATGTCGAAAATCTCATGTAATTTTTATGTACCCAAAAATAAATGAATGCAGTAAAAGCAGCGTAATGTCAGTTCATGCACTGTATCAATGATAATTTTCGCCTTTTTGGCATGCAATATTACACCGTATTTTTGACACGATTGAAGTGCATCCACTTTGATGTGATATCAAAATTATTTTTTTTGCTGTGTATGCAGCCCCTCCCTCCTTGGCTCTCTGAACGAAAGACTTGGAAGATTCAACTTTTTGGCCATATCCTTGAGCGAAACATTGGGATTCCGCTTAAACGCTTCTACAACATGCTTGTGATCCTGATCACTAATAGGACATTCATTCTGACCGCATTTCTCCTTCCGTTCGATGCTCAGAGTTTCGTAGTAACGTTTATTCACACGACTCACCGTTGACTGCACGATTCCGAGTTGTTTTCCGATGTCCCGATGAGAGAGTTGAGGATTTTCCTGGTGCTTGCGCAAAATCAATTCGCTACGCTGTTTTTCGGATGACGCCAGTTCTTCCAACTTTTCCAAACTGACAGCGATAAAAATAAAGTGTAAACAATACACTCTAAACTACTTCTACTATTTCTTTTGCGAAAATCAAAATGACTGAATTCTATCAAATATGTGAATGATTGACCATAACCAACAATTAAGCAAAGTTTCGTGGAAATCGGAGAAGGTCGCGTCTAAAACTCATTTTTTTCAGCAATTTGACCTGGTATGCTCTAATAGCTCTCTAATTTTCTAGCCATTCCTATATTAAAGCATACCATAAATTACGTGTATGTTTTAGTTTGTAACGCATGTGTTTCTGCATATGGCTGGTCGTAGCAAATTTTTGCTTCGAAAACATTCAACTATTGAGAAAGGATAATACTTCTTAGGTATTTTGGGTCACTGATCATGAAGGAAGGCTGCATTTTATGTTAGAACCAAGGAATCAAAAATATCTCCAAATGACAAAATGACAAGCGATCAGCGAACCGAATGATAACGCTATGTCAGAAGTGGAAATAATGATATAATCTTCTTCCTTTTTTTCATGACAACCAACCCATGCGACACAACACACTCGGGACGGTAGAAGGAAACGAGCAAATTGTTGGCCAGCTGCTTCACGAAGTACAGCCGAAGATGATACACTAGGGTGTTTCATTTTGAAAAAAGTGATGAATTTTTGATAGGCCACCCTCCAGTTCGATTCATAGCCCCAAAATATGAACCTGTGCAAAAAATGGTAAAGATTGATGAAGGTTTAGAGGTCGCGCCAATGATTTGGATTTTGTATGGAGATTTTGGTGAATTAGTATGGGAAATTATTGATTTTCGTTTACATTGCTCTAACTTTGGTTGTAGTTGTCCAAACGTTGAAAAAAAAAAAATATGTGGTTGTCATGACAATGATCAACAAGCCTGTTGTTGTTGCGATGAAATTGGCGTTGTTGCCTTGTACATATTCATCTGTCAATTTACCCTATTTTGCCATTTTTTCACATTTTTATAATTCTTGATACGCTGCAAAACTGAGCGTAGCAACTGTAGGCTTTTTGTTTATTGCTATAGCAATAACATACTAAATTTTTTCGACATTTGGACAAGTAGAAGCAAAGTTATAGCGATATAAGCGATTTTTTAAATTCTTCCATAGTAATTCCCATACAAATTTCAAATCATTGGCGCGACCTCTAAACCTTCATCAATCTTTACCAATTTTTGCACAGGTTCATATTTTGGGGCTATGAATCGAACTGGAGGGTGGCCCATCAGAAATTCATCACTTTTTTCAGAATGAAGCACCCTAATGATACACGTGTGTTAATGGGATTTTTTTTGTTATGTCTTTTCTCGATTCAGATCAAGCTTTGTCGTCATCCGTGTATATTGCAACAAAGCAGGCAAGCAATATATCATTATCCTTCTACCACTCTGATCGAGCTGTGTTACAGAGCGAGTTTGTCATGGTAGTCGTAGCAACCGTTGGTTGCTTTATGTGTTTGGATTCGCTGGTTTGAAATAAATGGGCCAGGATTTGTAAAGTATGACAAAGATATTTTAAGTTTATTCACAAACTTGTAGGATGACGATGTGCATTATAAATATTTTACATATTGTGTTATTCAGTACTTGCGTGGTCACAAATAAATGACCACAAAAACACCGAATCCGTAGAGTTTTGTAGCGCCTCAAAACATCAACTGCGGAATAAGCTCGAATGGAAAATTATCTTAGGTTCTTCAAGGTGTCTGAAAAAAATGAAAAACATATGATTGACAGTAGACAGTAAATATAGCACAAATTTGATTTGTACAGAACATTTGCATTTTTCATAATCCTCTCTAATTGTTGGAGAATAATTACTGATTAACGTAATATGATGAACAAGTATCCGAAGGACTTCATATGACTTGTATGGTCATCAGAATAATTTCTGATCAATGTAACATG